GACAAGGCTCAGGCCTGAAGTTCCTGGCCCTCGTTATTTCCAGTTCTTTCTCACCTACCCACCTCTCCTTTTGGGCCTCACCCACACTGACCATGCTGATTTCAGTTCCGCAAACCCCCATGGCCTGCTGCCCTATACAAGGGATTGAACTCAGGGCCTTCACATTGAGCTACACATCCAGATTTTTCGGTTTTTGACACTGGGTCTCACCAAATTTATGAGCCTCCTGCTACATCCTTGCAAATGCTTGAGTTGTAGATGTGTCCCACCATCCCCAGCTCTGTGCCTTTGCACTTGCTGTCCCCTTCCTACAGTCCTGATATTGCTGATGCCTACACTGGTGCTCAGGACTCGGTATGAACTTCAGCTTTCCAGAAAGCTCCCTCTTTCCTAATCCATGTTCTCCTGCTGTTTGTTGTGACAGCAGCCTACAGCCTCTCACAGACTGGGAGCTCCAGGGGGACAGGGACCATGTTTTCGCCACTATTTTATTGCCATCACGGGACTGAGTTCCTAAAGGCACTTCATAAATGTTGACAGTTTGCAAGAAGGATATGTAATTTGTAAGGTGAATCAAGTTTTCTTGGTAATGTGGGGCTTTTGGAGAATGTCTAAATTTTGCACCAGATTGATTATTAAATCTAGAAAAAATAGAAAAATGTAATGATGTACAGTAAAATTATGCAAAAAGCACATACAGTATAAAGTAAACAAAAATGAATAATGACTGTGCATGAATATGGTTGAATTACGAGTTCTTTTGTTTTTAGTAAGTTTTAAATTTTCTGTAATTTTTAAAGTTTTTTTTAAAGAATTCAAATTTCTTGTGTATTTTAAGCATCTTAAATATAGCTCCCTGGGTAATTTTGCTCCCAAGCTTGACTACCCCAGTCAATCTAAGGCCTACTCAGATTTCAAATAATCTAAAATATCCTGTTCCTACCTTTTGCTTCAGAAAATAAGTTTTTAACTTTCAGTTTTTGGTTTTTGTTTTGTTTTTTTGTTTTTTGGGGTTTTTGGGTTTTTTTGTACCAGAGATTGAACTCAGGACTGTAGGGTTGTAAGGCAGGCACAGTGTCACTGAGCTAAATCCCCAGCTCAAAGTTTATTTTTCTAAGGTAAGTATCATTCTTCACAAAACAGTGAAAAATCATACTGTTGTTTTCCTTTTTGTTTATTTTTTTCCACTTAGCATTTTATCAAATGAGTTTTCGTCTATTTCCTTATTCTTCTGAAACGTGATTATCATTACTAAAACAGTGGTGCTGAAAATTAAGCATTTACAGAGCATCTTTGCATACTCAGTCTGTCTTCAAGTCACTGGGGTGCTGTAGGAGAAAGAGGAACTGAAGTGCCCAAGGAGGTACAGGTCTTGTTCAAGGTCGCAGGCTTGGTGGGAGGCTTCCTGAAACCAAATCAAAGATCTTCTCATTCTTATTAAAGCTCCATGCCGTGCCCACACAGGGAGTACTTTTCCCCTGTATACATACATGATGTGCAAGTGAGACACACAGGCTTAACAGTTCTGCCAGGGTAGCAGGGGCGTAGCGGGGTGGGGTTAAATCTGGACACAACTTCTCTTTTTGAGTCTTGTCAGGTTGAAAGACAGCCTTTGTTCTGGTTTGAAGTTCCTTTTGTGCTGTGCTCTGATGCTTCCCCTCTTCCTCCACAGCTATGCATGCCCAAAGGGCTGTCTTTTAGGACACAGAGCGACAATAAAGACCCTCAGTTCCACTCGTTTATAATTACTCGGGAAGATGGCTCTCGAACCTATGGCTTTGTCCTCACTTTCTATGAAGAAGTTACAAGCAAGCAGATCTGCACAGCAATGCAGACTCTGTACCAGATGCACAACGCGGAGCACTGCAGCAGCGTTTGCGCCTCCTCCTCCTGCAGCATGGACTCACTGGCGAGCAGTGCTGATGAGGCTGACTCCACCTCCCTTCTGAAACTCCAGCGGTACAACTCTTATGATATCAACAGAGACACTCTGTATGTTTCGAAAAGTATCTGCCTTATCACCCCACTCCCCTTCATGCAGGCCTGCAAAAAGTTCCTCATCCAGCTTCACAAAGCAGTTACCTCACAGCAGCCGCCACCCTTGCCCCTGGAAAGCTACATCCATAATATTCTGTATGAAGTACCCCTTCCGCCTCCGGGGCGGTCACTGAAGTTTTACGGCGTTTATGAACCTGTCATCTGCCAGAGGCCTGGGCCCAGTGAACTCCCCCTCTCTGACTACCCTCTTCGAGAGGCCTTTGAGCTCCTGGGACTGGAGAATCTGGTGCAGGTGTTCACCTGTGTTCTGTTAGAAATGCAGATCCTTCTATACTCACAAGGTGGGTGTTCTTTGCCCTTCATTTTTTAAAAACAGGTACCTGTGCCCTCAACTACTGTGTTACCTTGAGTTATATTATTAGAACCAAATAATGAATATTCAGGAGTCTTTTGTTTCCCATCGAAGGAGCAGGTATGAATGAGACTAATGGCTGCAGTGTAGCTTTTCTTTGTGGCCACAGCAGCTATGGAGAGAAACAGCAAAGAGTATAAAAAGTATTACCCTGAAAGATTTTGTTGTATTTATTTTTTTAATAAAAAATGGCCTTTTTTCTGTCAATTCATAGTCATCATTAAAGAAACATTCTTTCTTTTCATAATGAGAGCGGGAAATGAGAGGGAACCTGTAGTCTTCCCACTCTTCACAAATCAGTAAAGGTGCCTAGGAAAACTCGGCTACACTGAGAAGAGGAAGTGACAGCACTGACGCTGGCCTTTTTAGCATCGCACTCACACGCAGGAGGAAGAGGTGTACAGGGGGACAGTGTGACTTTCCCAGTTCACAGTGAACTCAAATTGTGTCTGTGGCCTTGGGTGTTTTGTTTTAAGACATAGAAGAGAGAAGTTATCTTTATGATAATTATTTATTCAAAATTCTCCAAACACACACTTTAAAAATATCAAACTGGGCTCAGTGGTAGAACATTTGCCTTGCACACGAAAGGCCCTGGGTTCAATTACCCCCGCCTTTGAAAAAAAGGAAAAGAAAGAAACTAACAGATGTAGGACTTTTTTAACCACTACATTTGCAGTAACTAATGTTGATCCTAGACTAAGATACCAGTTCCCATCTGAGAATGAATTTACAGAAGAAATAGAGATGTGTAGTGAGGAAATTATCAATTCTAAATTATCATGGGTAGTGAGGAAATTATAAAATGGAATCTGTGGATGGATCCTTTGGAAAATGTGACATTTGGGTTAAGATTTTACTAATTTAAATTTGTGTTTAGTCTGGCAGAGTGAGTTGTAGTGCAATCTCCCAACTGCTGCTGTCAAGCTTATTTTACACTGCTGTTGTTTTTATTTTTCTATTTTAAATTATAAATGAGGCTGAGCCAAGTAGGCTATATTTGTACTCCCCATCTTGTGTGTGTGTTGACACTATTTGTGTGTTGACAGCCCATCATGAGGTTGTGCTTTCTCTCAGTTGTGCTACAGGATGTTCTTTGATGGTATATTCCAATGTCTCGGTGTTGTTGGGAAATTCCTCTCTCATGGCCAGACTGAATTCTCTCTCTTCCTCCTGCCATCTTTCTGAGTACTCAGCATCACCTATAAACTGTCCGTTTGCAGTTAAAATTTTTAAATAAGTTTCTTCTTCCTTTTTCTTGAAGAAGGTAGGGTTGGGAGCTGCATCATGTCAGTGCTCACATGGGTTCAGGTTCTGGAGCCTTTCATTTTGGGTTAAGGATGTTTAACTTGTATTGATTTTGGAAGTCATAACAATCCTGGGTTCAAATCTCTATGTGTCCCTTACTAATGTAACCATGGGCAGAGTTCTTACTCTTCCTGTCACTTCCCTCCTCTGTGGGGTGACAGTTTTTATCCCCAGCTGATTGATTGTAAAGGGTAAGTAAGAAGCCTATACAGAGTACTCAGGGTGTAACTGACACTGTCCAAATGATGGCTGATGTGATTATAATTACTAATAGTGTTATTAGTTCCATATAATTCTCTGTAAATTGTACTTATGTTAAATTATGAAGATCCAGCATATTAATGTATTTAAATTGTAACTTCGCTCAGCAGTCAAGGTTTGGGCTGAGGATGTGACTTAGGGTAGTGCTTGCCCAACAGGCAAAGCCCTGGGTTCAATCCCCAGTGCTACCCAACAAAACACAAATAAACAGAAACTTAATAAGTGTTCTGTCATGCTCTGTGCCATGCTTTTTTTTTGAAAAACAAAACAAAGCTTTCCATTATCACACTTCCTTTTTTAAATAGCATTTTATGTCTCATTGTCTGTCCTGAACCCTTATCCTTCTGATCTATATGACCAGTTTATCCTGTTGGTTTAAGGAGGAGTCTGTTAAGAAGTTTGAGTCAACGCATATTTGCCAATTTATTTAGTTTCAAATGAAGAAAAATATTTATGGACATGTTTTTGTACCCTAAATATTTTTTCATTAACTTGGTCTTATACTCATAACAACAGAGTGAATCCTGAAATTACAGGACTAATTTTACTGTGGTACCTTGGTTCACGAACTTCATTCTCTCCACGATTCTGCTTATAAACCAGATTGAATGAGAACTGAATTAAATTCGGTGGTTAGGTTCAATGTTGACTTTATGGGGAAATCTGGTTTAGCTCTCATCCAATTTGGTGTGTGACCAGAATTGTGGAGAGAATGAAGCTCATGAACTGAGGTACTGCTGTTTTTGTTGTTTTGTTTTGAGACAAATTCTCACTATGTAGCCCAGGCTTGCCTTAAACTCCTAGTGATCCTCCTGCCTCAGCCTCCCCCATGCTGGATGTATTTATTTTTTGAGATAAGATCTCACTGTGTTTCTCCTACTAGCCTCAAACTCAGGATCCTCCAACTCATGATCCTGGCTCAGCCTCTGAGTAACTGTAATTACAGGCCTGTATCATCACACCCAGCTACTAGAACTAGACATTTTTTTTCTTTCTGTGTCATATGGAAAGAAAGGTTTTATGGCCAAGTTTATAGCCATTCACAAAAATCACTCTGTCAGGACTTGTGCTAAAAGAGCACGTGTATATTTTGGAATTCTCTCCAGTTAATCCCAGTAATCAGCATGATATGTTTCTGTCAGCAATGTGTCATCAAGGGAAATTCAGGATCAGAAAAGCAAAGGGACCACCCAGGACGGGGCAGCAGAGGAGAGGTGGCACCAGGACCCAGCTCAGTCTGTCCAAGCATGTCACCACTGTGCCGGCTCTGCAGCTGTGGCATTCCACCTTCCTCCCTTTCCCACCCTTTTGGTGTCAGCTGTGCAGTTACCGACTCCATCGGTTCTGGAAGAACGTGGTCCACCAAGTCCTTGTGGAGTATGACGTGAAAGCCTGTGTAAATGCAGATTTTTGACAGACAACGGCTTTTCCCATTAGAGAAAGGTATTTTGCTTAAACAAATTAAATCCAGGAGTTACTGTGTTGACCTGTACCCTGGTGCCCCCTTCACCTTTCCTGACTGAAAGGGGATTCAGAATATACACATTTCCTACTCACTGATAAATGTTTCCATAAAATTTGTAAATGTTTCATAGGCTAAATAATTGCTGTGAAAACCCAAAGAGAGTTAAAGTAGGTGGATCTCATCGATGGAATTTTCTGTCTAGACTGATTTGAATTTCTGGTTGGTAGCCTGTGTAAACAGACTCAGTCTGTTGTCTAGAAAATGTGTACAGCACAGCCTCTTCGCAGTGGCAGTCAACTAGACATTTTAAGTAGAGAATGCACCCAAGAGATGAAGGCTCTTCTAGGATCCTGAATCACAGGAAGGCACTTTCTTCTGCAGCCCAGAAATGCATGGGGCAGGCTGGGGGAAGGTTGGAGTAAGACTTTTCAAAAGAATAGTGGAGAAATAAAAGATGAGATAACACCAGTGTTGAACCTCTGCTGCCGATAATGAAAGCCTTAGGGGCATCATGGGCCCTGCTTGCCTTCTCTAGCTCTTCACAGAGGAGGTAAGCAGTTGCCTGCTTCTAGCCACACTGCGAGCCCCTTAGCCCCTCGCCTTTGAGGTGCTCCTCTGCTTCCTGCTGCTGCTCCTCCAGAAAACCATGTGGGTCGTTCCTGTCAGAAAGTGGAAGCTCCTAGTTGTCCTGAAACAGCCTTTCCCTCAATTGCTAGTCATAGTCAAGTGGACAGCATAGCTTATTGGGTATTAGTTTATAAATCATAAAAGCAAATCTGATATTCTGAGGGCTGGCATGGCTCCCCGTAACCTGAATGCTAAAAGCAGTAGAATTTGCCAGCTTTGACCAGTATTTTTAACATAGTGATAGGTGCAATCTTCATATTGTTAAAAGTTACGCATGTTACTTTTTTAATGGCCAGACAGACTCAACTGAGACAATTATGGTTCTGTACTACGTTTAATAATCCAGTTTTCCATTGTCCGTTTACTTGACCAGATGGCTAGGCTGTTTGTTGGCTATTGCATGTGAGGGGTAAAAACCCAGATAAAAGGGCTTTTATCATTCAGCTCTTCTGTTACTGCTGGGAAAACAGCACGCAGGTCAGTCAGGCCACTGAGTGGATTTTGTTTTGCCTTCTAAAGATTGATTTGTTTTTTACCATTCACCAAAATCACATCCATAAAACAAACAGCTGTTTTTGGTAGTTGAGAGGTATTCATGAGGCACAGGCCAAGTGACAGTGGGACCTGGGAGATTCTCACACAGCTCTGGTCAGCCTGGGCAAAGGGTCTCCCTGCTTTTTGCCTCCTCACAGTCCCTGGTACTGTGATCCAGTGCAAACTGTTTGTTTTGTTAGGGACCTATGGACAACAAGCACCTTCCCGCCCTAGAGAGCTTTTCTGACATCACTCAGGTTGCCATGGGTATTTCGGGCTGCAAGATTATTTATGCCCTTAGTCAGAAGGATAGTAATGTCTTATTAAAACCTAGTACTTATCCCTCAGATGGAAATTGTCTCTTTCAGGCCCTCCAGGCTTCTGACGTGGCTCAGATAGGATTTGTCTGTACAACACTCCAGCCTCCCTTTTGCATGGAGTGAGCATAGGACTCTTGAGTGTCCAGTGACGTTGCTTCATGCTTTCTGTTTCACAGTGCTAGATAGGGGAAGTGTTCTTCAGTCAGACAGAGGATCCATTCCCGTAAGACAGTCAGGTAAAACCTTTTTTTTTTTTTTTTGGTACCGGGGATCGAACTTGGGTCCTTGTGCTTGTGAGGCAGGCGGTGGAACCACTGAGCTAAATCCCTGGCCCAGGGGTAAAATCATTTTAAACATTCTAATCTCATTTAAACTCTACATTAAGCCTGTCAACCTTAAACTAATGTGGTGTCT